TTTTTAGTTATTTATTTTTAAGGCAAGGTCTTGCTCTGTTTCCCAGGCTGGAGTGCAGTGGCTCCATCTCGACTCACTGCAACCTCCAACTCCTGGGTTTGAGCGATTCTCATGCCTTAGTCTCCTGAGTAGCTAAGACTACAGGTACCCGCCACCATGTCCAACTAATTTTTTGTATTTTTAGTAGAGATGGGGTTTCACCATGTTGGCCAGGCTGGTCTCAAACTCCTGACCCCAAGTGATCCGGCCACTTCAACAAATGCTTTAGTTCTTAACATTAAGCTTAAAGACTGAGAAAAATGTATAGGTATAAATGAGATTTACATGAGTGTTTTTGAAGAAAACCATGAATGAGAATTGAGTCACTTAATTGTCTAATCCATGGAGAATTGTGGAAAATCTGTCTGTACCACTGTGAAGAGCAGAAGGAACCAGTGTCTGTGAATAGCTGAATTTTTTTTTTTGTAGAAAGCATTTATTCACTAACATTAGGCTATAAGCTTTCTAGGGTACTGTGACTATTAAAATTGTCATTTAAAATTTAAATTCACGGCCGGGTGTGCTGGCTCATGCCTGTAATCCCAGCACTTTCGGAGGCTGAGGTGTGTGGATCTCTTTAGGTCAGGAGTTCCAGACCAGCCTGGCCAACATGTTGAAACCCTTGCTCTACTAAAAAACAAAAATTAGCTGGGCATGGTGGCACACATCTGTAATCCAGCTACTCAGGAGGCTGGGGCAAGAGAATCACTTGAATCCGGGAGGCAGAGATTGCAGAGAGCCGAGATCGTGCCACTGCACTCCAGCCTGGGCGACAGGGCAACACTCTGTCTCAAAAAAAAAAAAAAAAAAAAAAAAAATTAAATTCATTAGGTTGCACAACAGGCTTTCTTTTGCCAACAGAAATTAGGAAGCACTGTAAGATTTACTGGAGACTATTGACAGTGGTACTTGGAATTTTTAATAAGTGACAGCAGAACAATGCTGAATAAAGAACTAAGGTGTGTAAGGGGCTTTGTCTTGCCAATATTGCTGAAGTTGGTATTTTCTTAGCTTTTCTTGAAGCTCTGGGATAGGCCACCCAGAGAAATGAGGCCACACATGTGACATTCTGAATTTTCTGTCCCTGGATCACAACTGTCATCCGTTTTACTTATGGGCTCTCATAAGATATCTATTCTTCTTTTTCTTTTTTCGGGAGTGGGGAGAGAAGATCTCTGCTCCAAAAGTATATATCTAAAGTCTCTAATCTTGAATACGCCTTAGTGATTGTGTTAAAAAGCAATTGAAAAACTAGTACTAGGAAGGCAGAATCTGTTTTTAATATCTTCACTACAGTGGGCGTTTGCAAGTTCTCCTTTCTTCAGTGTTAATTTCTTAACACAAATGGAGAAGCAAAGAAGAGCAGAAGCAGGGACTGCTTATTTGAGAAAAAAAAGACTTATTCTAGGTCCGTGTCAAACTTAACCGAATAAATTATCTTCAGTCCTCGCTTTACTATAACAATAGGAGAAATGGTCCCTATTCATTAAAACTAGATTAAATCAAGAAGATTTTAAGTATGCATCAAAGCTAGAAGAGGTTTATCCATCACCAAAAGTAAAACTAATCAATCAATCACTGAAACAAGATAATAATTTCAGAGCAAAGATACAAGTATATAGAAATGATTCACCTGTAGGATAAAACTTTACTAAATAAGCAGCATATATTAGTCAAAGTAAATGGAATTGCTAATATTCAACTATTTTGACCTGCAAAAATATCAGTTTCATGTGGTTCAACTTGATATATCACAAGATAAGACAAAGAAAGCAATTTCATCATAACAGCCAAGTTGTACACATAATACACAAACACACACACACACACACAAATGGAAAAAACACTGGCAAAAGGTAGTATTCTTTTATCTAAAATAAATCCAAGTTTATTTGCACTAGAATTGATAACCAATGATGAAAGACATTTCCATATCACAAGCTAGTCCAATCCTAGACTACACAGAAAATGGCCTCTGTAACATGAAAGTATGTATTGTTTCTCTACACAGAGAAAGCAAACTAGCTAATAAATAGCCAAATTACCTGATAAGGAGTGATTGACATTAGAGTTGGAATCTCCAACAGTAACATCAGTAACTCCAAAGGACCCAGTCTCAGCTGGGGTCCCTGGGATGAAGGTCCTGCTTTCCTTCGGGTCTGGGTAAGGAGAGGTGTAACCTTCCAGTAAAGTAGTTGAGGGTTCAAAATGACTTGAGTCTCTTCTTCCACCTCTGACATCATTTCTATCTGTGTGGAGGTGAAATCAATGATGAACCCACATTGTAATGTCACCAGACACCACGTGCTTGTCTCCAGAACACACAGTTGCTGCAAAAGCTTTCCACTTGTTACCCATAAACAGGGAGGAATAGAGTGAAGTTCACCATACTATCGAACAGAATAAATATTTTTCAACAGACACCATCACCACCTGGACATCACTCAACAGAAGAGACTTTGGTTATCTTAATACCCAGAATTGGCATTTGTTGCAACATCTGCTTGAGTTATTAGGTAAGGCTTATGTCACTACAACAGTGACCTTGAAGTTGGCCGAAGTACTAGATAATCTTGAGTTCTTTCTCAATTGGATTCATTTTTAATGAAGTGGAGGAAGCATACCATTGGATTGAAAGATAAAATTTTGCTGCCCGCAATTAGAATAGCAAAGGCAAGGTTTCAAAGGCCTGAGGCTACTAATTTAATTATTCTTTTATTTTCCAGAAGGGATTCCTTTCGGTCATCAGCACCATGGAGGTACAGAGGACAAACGGCAAAATAATTTTAATGTGAGGAATATAAAGTGAAATAATCAGACATTTACACCAATTATAAATCAAAATGCAAAAGAACTGAAATCATAACAGTCTCTTGGACCACAGCACAATCAAATTTGAAATCAAGACTAAGAAACTCACTCAAAACCATACAATTACACGGAAATTGAATAACCTGCTCCTGAATGACTTTTGGGGAAATAATGAAATTAATGTAAACATCAAGAAGTTCTTTAAAACTAATAAGAAGAAAGATACAAGGTACCAGAATCTCTGGGACATAGCTAACGCAGTAGTAAAAGGGAAACTTATAGCACTAAATTTAAATGCCCACATCAAAAAGTTAGAACGATCTGAAGTTCACAAAAATAAATAAATAAATCATATATAAGCAATTCATTATTGTCAAAACAAATTACTAACCCTGGAGTGAAAGAAACCCAACCTTTAAGATTAAGAAATGTAGTTTGCACTTAATGTACAAAGAGGTATATGAAACAGAAAAATCAGAGAACCACCACCAGATGCACCTTTTGATTAAAAGTAACAGCATAACAGCAGCCAATGGATGCACCTCCACCAAAGACACTGCAAAAGCACCCATAATTTATTGATTCTTATCAATTGCTGAAGCCAACTAGGTTTTATAATTATTCCTTACTGCTTGATGTCAGAGTAGAAGTTGTTGGATGGTCTTTATCTTCTTCCAAGCCTTCATGTGATGTAGAGAAGCTCTGAGAATTACTCTGCTCTGTTTCAATGAGGGATGAATCCAGTGTTAATTTGAAGTGATGACACAAATCCTGTTATCTGCTAGCAGGGAAGATGTAGCTATCGCAGAGTCAGATGGGTAGGCACATAGGTTTGTGCACATCATTCTCCTCTGATAGATAGAAATATATGGAAGAATTCTATTTTCCCCTTAGTTGGTTCCAAAGACTCTTTACTTCTCAGTATACTCAACAAAGGTAAAGTGGCAAGGTGAAGGCTGAGCCAAAACTTTGCCTACCCTGGACTGTTCTGGTGCAATTGTAACATTGTTCCCAGTCACTTAGGAAAACCAGAGAACACAGAGATGAGGAAAAAAGAATCTATCAGAAATCAAGAGCATCTAACTGCGTGTCAAGAAATGTGATAGCAGGGAAGATAAACAGCATGATAGCACGTAGTCTACTTGTAACCACAAAAGAAAAAGAAGCCTATCTAGAATAGTCTGCTCAAGTAACACCGATCAAATTTATACAAGGCAATACTTAGCTACCTTGTGAAGGTCATTAAATTAAAGTTACCATTTTACTCCATTATTAAGCTTTTTAATTTCATCTGTGTAGGGGGATTCTCATGGCTGCACCAAGGAAACGCTTGCCTGGGCAAACACAGGGCCCTCAGTGATATATCTCAATTTGAGGTTGAACCATTGCCCATATCTAAAATCACCTGGACTGTTTCAAGTTTATTTCTTTTGTGTTCTTAAGAAAGGTACTAACCTCTGAGTTGCACGTGCAAAAACTTCATGAAGCACACCCATAAGCCATGCCCACCACCAAATAAATATTACAACCAGGAGAGACAGTCACCAAATCCCAAACCCAATGTCAGAATAAAAGCCAACAGTGACATAAAATGGAAATATAAGTCTTTCTTTGGCAAGGGTCATTTATAGGCTTATTTGTATCTTCTTTGGTGCTCAACACTGGCTATTTACATTGCTGACAATTAATACATGCTTGCTGATTTTTTTCCTTTGCCTAAAGGGCTCATACGAAGGGCTCTGCCCATTATGTGTGACAAGCAGTAATGGGACCTTCTTAATTATAGATATTTTTTCTTTCTTTTTTTTTTTTTTTGAGACGGAGTTTCACTCATGTTACCCAGGCTGGAGTGCAATGGTGCGATCTCGGCCACCGCAACCTCCGTCTCCTGGGTTCAGGCAATTCTCCTGCCTCAGCCTCCTGAGTCGCTGGGATTACAGGCACGCACCACCATGCCCAGCTAATTTTTTGTATTTTTAGTAGAGACGGGGTTTCACCATGTTGACCAGGATGGTCTCGATCTCTTGACCTCGTGATCCACCCGCCTCGGCCTCCCAAAGTGCTGGGATTACAGGCTTGAGCCACCGCGCCCAGCCAATTATAGATATTTTTTCATATTCTTCTAAGAAATTACAAATGACTTTAGGCTGAGCTCTAGGACATCCCTGCACGTATAGTAGAAATTAAGGCTACTAAAAATTGACCATTTCTTAGTGATAGAAAGAGATACTAGCAAATTTTTTGTTGTTGTTGTTCCAGGGGTCCTGCCACCTTTGTTGATTGTCAATAACATGCCTTGTCTCTCCTCTAAGAACTGATGTAATTTCTAGGATTATCTGGCCCCAAAAATGTCTTTTCACAACCATGCAAGCAATCCTACCCCTATTCTGCATTTGCTGGAGGAAAGATGGATATTAAAAGGAAATGGTCAGTTAAAACATAGAGAAATCACTATCCTAGAAGTAGGCTTGTGTTTCACTGACATAACTACTTAGAGAATGAAAATGGAGTTGAATAGAGTCCCACATTTTTTTTTAAAACACAAAGTCATTGAATCTGGAAGGCACTAAGAAATGAAGGCAAAATCAGGTTGAGAGACTTGTACAAGAAATAAAGACAACAAAGACAGTTTCACACACTGGGCTGAGCGGAGCCACATAGAACTAAATGCACCATTCCACCACCAAAGCTCTGCATCCTGGCTAAAGGGAATTAAGAGATGAAGCAGGAATACAAGTCAACAAAGGGGCTGAGCATCGTTATCCTTACGCGTTGTCATTGGAAGAGGTCCTGTCCTGTCCAAGTCTTCCACCAAACCTGTATTTGGATCTGCAGTAGGCTGAAGCGCTGTACTATGACTGGAATCCATATCTGAAGGAATCAATATTAGTGTTATCACTTGGTTTCCCAAACCACTACGAAGGTGGTTTATGGTCTACAACAGATTTTTTAAAATATTTCACATCTGGCCAAGAGGAAAGAAAGCACATGTTGACGATATCTCCAGAACTGAGATAGATTATTGTTTCTTTACAGAGTACCACAACAAGTAACTGGCCTTCCTTGAAGAGCTGAGTTATGTGAAATCTATGATTCATGTTTGTTTTTGCTGAGTCTAGGAGCACTCTACATGAGCGCATGATGGAACACCCAAATCGTGCAGAGAGACAGAAACATTGCCTTTCTTACAGAACATGCAATCTGACACATGGAGAAAAGTCAAAGTGCACTGACTCAGGCACTATTTTACCCCCTCCCTCTTACCAACCAAAGGGGCTTTTAAAAATGGCCCTCTTCCCCCTTTAGTCTTTTTCTTTTCACAAAGTGAATATGCAAATAAACACAAAATCATCACCCAATACCACCTAGGTGGAGTTACAGGAAGTATACAGGGGCAAGAAATAAGAAGCAGTGGATGTCACCAAATTATTCTTCCAGGACACTCAAGTTTACGGAGTCTTTAAAATTTAACGTGTACAATGTTGAGTAGTGCAGAAATTTCACTGAAATACTTGCAAATGTTGTTTTTAATAGTGATTACAGATCTATTCTGCTGAAATAACAAGTCTTGAGTGACACAGAGGCCAAACAATTCATAAACCCCATCAATATTGATGGCTCTCCAATTCAGTCAAAATCCATCCACATCACTGCCTCTGGAGAGAGCTAATTGGTTCCAGCAAAGCAGCAGAATACTGGGTACCCATGTCTGCACTGCAGCCTTTCAACACTAAAATATTCAAGATCTTTGTAGGACAAAAATGTGGTGACTCTCCTATCCCAGATTTCAAACAAGAGCAAGGGCTAACCTGAATCAAAGCCACAAATGGACATTCTCCCAGAAAAAGTCCCACTTGATGATGGGTTCTAGACTCTTGTTTATCTTCCCTCTTATAAGTAGAGTCCTTCAAGAGGTACCACACCATTGTGTAGTTGAAGCCAATTGTATTGTCCTTGACATCTTCATTAATTTAATGGAATCTCTTTCTCTTCATCAGTACAGAGACTTAATATTGATTCTTAAGATCTTTGCCTATCTTGGTTTTCCCCCATGGGTGTCCTCAGAGCTCCAGCTGCCATGTGCAAACTCATGTGTGCTGGGCCTAGCCATTCAAACATATCTTCCTTTGTGACAAATGGATCCACTCACTTGACATATTCATTCCTTGGCTTTTCTTCCTTCATGTTTCTCCTTACACAAGTCTCCTTCTTAGAAAAACTCCCCCCCGCCCCTCCACCCACTTCCTTTCTCTGACCATCCAGGTTTTTAAAATTTTTTATAAATCAGGTCCGGTTCACCTTTCTGTGATGCTATGGTAGGTGAGAAGGGGTTCTCAGAATTTCTTTGGTGTTCATTATCGGCAAAATTCATTTCACATCTATTACTTACTGCCTCACCCGCTATATTTTAAAATAAGTGTCTTCTTTTGCCAACTGTCCTGCCAAATTCCTTACTTTCAGCTCAAGTGTTCATATTCAGATGAATATGCGTATCACTCCTACCAAGAAAACAAATTTTTGAAGAAACTTAAGTCCTTCGGGAAAGTAGACTGGTCTAAAACCAAGGGCATATATCTAGAAAAATAGTCAACAGTCACTCAGTGGATTTCAAAAACATAATATATAAAAATTTCAGAGGCTATTACCCATCCTTCTTCCTGCTTGATGACCTCGTCCCATAGGATGTGAGACTGGGTCGAAGAAATCAGTCCAGGAACTGTCCTCTGGGCTCAGTGTTGTCGTTCCTTGTGTTGGATGCCTGGTGTGGGCTGAGGCTGTTGTGATCATGCAGTTCAAGCAATTGTCAAAGTGTTAATGGACGCTTGGTCAGGGGTACATTGATTTTATTTTTTAAAAAGACTTTATTCTCTTGACAAGACAATGCGACCATCTTCCTTGTATAGAGGGCAAGGAAGTTGCATAAACGCAGAATGCTTCAGCAGGTTCGAGTTCACTCATGCTCATTTTCTTCTTAGCAATCAGCATGTGAACTGGAGGACACGAAAGCATTAACAACTCCTGCAGCGCAGAGAGGACGAGTTACAGACATCAAAGGAAGATGAAGGAGAAGTAGTTCTGGACCCATGCCACGCTGCCACAGTCCCCTGAGAGCAGAAGTATAAGAGCCCAAGTGCATGATGTCATTCTGAGGCAATCATATTCCAACCGAATGCACCTTAGGCTGGAAGTGATCTCAGGAAAGAAATCAGGTAACAGCTTTCCATGTGATCAACATGAAAGTCAATGCGATTTATCTCAAAAGAATGAATGGAATCCGTTAGAAGCATTACCTTCTAACAATGGGACTTATGACATAAATGACACACAAGACAGCAGCATATGCCTTGCTTCATTCTGAGCCAATGAAGAAGTATAGGTAGAAAAGATTACAATAGCATCCTCTTAGCAACAACCATACCACATAGACAGTCACAGAATCCACCCATCTGCCAGGAATTCATTCAGAACTTGTCATGCCCCGGAGGGACATGATGCATTATCTTCTATATTGCAAATAGAAACATGGGACTATTTCTCACTGATATCAAGTGAAAATATGGAATTCACCTTCTCTATAAGGCAGGATACATTTCAATACTTATGTCACACAGACAAAAGAATTCTGCATGGGTGCTTGCAGAGCCAAGTTATCTGGCATCACTTAGAGATGATGATAAGACTTGATTCCAATTTCCACAATCTCACATTTCAAGAATAGAGAAGATTCCTTTTTAATACTGAAAAAACAAATTACCAAACAGGCATGACCAAAAAGCCAAATGACATCAGACAGGTGTCATTTTTCACATAATGTCTGGCTCTATTTCTTCAAACACTGAAGTTCTGACAAAATGCTTTATCACAAGAAAATACTTTGTGAGAAATCTCATTGTAAATCTGGACCCACATTATAGAGTATATTCCTTTGCATGACAAAAGGGGGTATTTTATAAAGGCCTCTGCTACAATCTCACTAGATGATGCCCAAAACTCGATGTGAAAGAAACATGCTCAAGGGCATATTCTCTGTGTTTCCTGTTCCTATTCCTACCTGGCTTGTATTTATTCCTGTTCAGGTGACTTGTTATGAGCCTTTAAGGTTTGGCTTTGTGTTAACTGCAAGATAATTTATTAAGGAACCTAACATCTTGTGACAATTCCTCCAGTGTCCTTTTGTTTAATGTCCTCAATGTCTACCATTTAACCCGAAAGGAAGTTGCCATCCAAATTTGCTTGTTAAACCATCCATTACCAGCTGTCCCTGTTGTTGAATGGGAGTCTTCTCCAGGCGTTTGGAGATATCCCTCATGCCATCTGTTGCCAAACTAGTGTTCCTTCTGGGTAGCCGTTTCTTCATTTGTACTACTAGGAGTTGCCTGGACTATGAGAACAATATCAGTTGGGAGACAAAATTGTCTATTTTCCTTGCCAATAGCTGTCACGTATCTTTCTACTTTAAGGACAGATACACATGGGGATAGAAGGTAGAAAGGAAAGGCAACAAAGAAACAGACCACTGGTATTCTAAAGGGGATATTAGAAATCAAATGATCCAAACGTTTAACTTTTCAGATGTCAAAATTGTGGTCCAAAGAGGTTTTGATTTTTTCAAAATCATAGTACTAAGCAGACCATAGTTGATGAATTCTCATAGTTCTATAAGTTATCATTGTTTTTATTTTACTGTAGTATATGGCGTCACATACTCTGTCTGAGAAAACCATTCAAATAATAACCTCTTTGCTCCAGTCATTTTGAGGAAAGGAAAATACTGTACAACAACTAATGACAAGATCAGCGCATTAGGGGACCTTCTCCAATGGTGGTCCTGTAACCCATAATCACACATGATGGAAAGGCACCAGCAGTGGATCTGCCTAGCAGGAAAGGTGTTGGGATGGCCTGGATACTATTCCATTAACACATTATATAGTGATGTCCACATGGCACCCAAAATTGCTAAAATCACTTTGTAACAAAATTAATTCAGTTGACAACAACTATCCAAGCTAGTCTGAGGCATTATATAAATAATAGTGCGTGGCAGGCTTACAATTTCAACCACGGTTTTAAAAAGGACAAAAATCAACAGAATAAAATTTCATCGAGGTGCCTTCAGGAAAAGTCAGACACCAACATTTTTGTCTATGCAACTTACAGCAAATTATTTTTAGTTTATCAAGAAAATGAGAGCCTGTAAACTTGCCAAGTCAGAGTATTTTTTTTGCGACTTGTAAAAATGGCTGTATTTCATTATCTTAGAAAATGATATGTGTGTAATTTGGTGACAGCAATGACATTTAAAAAATAAAGCATACCATCCTCATTTTACCCTTACATTGGCCAAGCCATTCTTGGGTAACTGGTTAGCCAGGGGGAGGGGAAGAAAAGCCAAATATTTAAATTTTACCTCCCACTGGCTAAATTACTAATTCCCAACAATAATGAAGTTGGAAAAACCACTGAATGTAATTACAAAAAAAGGAAAATTGACCCAAACATAGACTGCCGTGTTACTCAAAGTTTAAATAAAAGAAATAAGGAAGTGTATGTGTGTGACTGTACAGAAGGACCCTACACTCCTTCTATCACTGCTTTTATAAACATAATGATTTTTTTTAAGTACCCATAACCCTTTATTATTTTCAGCTTAAATAGGAATGGGTTAGCAGAACATACGATTTCTATCCTAAAAGATGAAGGTTGACTTTCTTCTAGAAGTTGTGATGTTAATTTGTTAAAGCCCAGAAGTTACCAGTCAGTTCCCTTTGAGTTTTGCAAATACTCCTAAGAGAATTGTTACAGTTGTTGCTGTCTTCTCTTTGTCAAATTACATTCTGTCTGAATTTTCACCTACCCTCTAGCACTAATGCCCCAAGCACCACCTTTTGACAACAGGCTCATTATTTCCAAGTCTCTAAAGTAGCTTTCTGGTCTTTAAGTACAAACTGTCTAAAGTAGTTTCTAAGATATACCGTTAGGGCTCTAAGTGACTGGAACAGAGTCCTATTCCAAACAGACTTCTGCTTCCTCTGTATTTCCTTTTCTTATCAGATTTCTTTTTTAACTCAGCCCCTAAGCCTTATGCATACATCAAATCTACTGGGGTATGAAATGGATGTAAGGCCTGCTGGATATATTCAGTACAATGTCCAAGACTTATTAGCCTCTATGCTATCTGATACCTGAAACTTTTCTTTTGTTGTCTGAATGCACTGCTCAAGTCATAGAGTCCCAAAGCCCTTTGGTTTTTAAGTGGCTATTGCTCACATTTTCCCATTAGGTGTATTCAGGGCTGTGAGAATGACAGTTGAACCATCGTTTTAAAAATGCTAAAAAGCTGTTTTCCAAAATAAATGCTTCTTTTATTCCAAATAAGATAAGATATTTCATCTATCTCTCAGTGGGATAGATGAAAGAAGAAAAGCATATACTTTTTATGTTTGGGGGTGAAGGGGTCCCCTATCCTCACAGTCCAGTGCAGCAACTTGAGATTGTTTTAGAAAACCTGAGAAGTTTTCATAACAGTAGAAATAACAGTAAGAGCATCAAAGCCTTCCTCAAGTTACTCTGTTGTAGAATTCAAATGTAGACCATATGAGCTACCAACTTTGCTCTAAAGAGTGCAAAGGATGTCTTTCTATAGAACAGTCAGGGATGAAATACAAAAAAAAAGAAACTGTATTCATAAAAGATCTTCATAGAAAACAAGGATTCCAAAGATCAATTCACTTGACAAACTTTCCTTCCAGATTCCACTGCTAAGCACCAAAGAACACACTCTTCACCACACATTTCCAAAAACACACACAAGTCACCCAAGGAACCTTTAACACAAAAGTTGTATCTAGATCTACTTTTTAAACATGTTGACCTTTGGGAAACCTGGTGAGTTATCATTTTCCTTCTAATTTCTAAAATTTGTGTGCAGATTTGGCAGCTTTTCAGCCTCTGAGAATAAAAGAAACTACTGAGTGAAAACAAGATGTGGCCAATGTCCAAACAAAATCTTCCCTATCTCTGCAATGTCTTCACTAACTCATCTACCCAGAATTGCCAACCGCCATCTTGCTTACTTGTGCTTGTAGAATGTGGAATCTCTTCTTCCTCGTGATGCTCATAGTGAATGAGGGGAGGGTGTGCTTCCTGGTTCCAGTTTCCTTCATGAGCAGTAGTGCCATTTCTGTCTACATCTGCTGTGATGATGGTTAAATACACTGTGACTTGTTATCAACCAACTTTTAACGATTCTGTTCTTCCATTAAAGTGCATGCTACTTAACAATTCTATGCCAAAGTAGTACCTTTGAGCATCCACTCTCAAAAAATTTTCAGTGACTTTACCTAATCTGTCTCAAGAGAAAATCAATGGGCTTGGAATTTCTTTGTGTTTACTTATTAATCCACTATGATCAGTTTGTCAAAGGCAGCACCGTAAACCATTTAAACATATTCATTTTTATAATGAAGTAACGTAAAATATCCTGTGTCCACATGGTATAATTGATAAACGACTCTTAAATGGAATTGAGTTTCCTCATGAAAGTCCGCTAAGAATTTCTTGAAGAGATATTAACTAAATTTCCCACTGTGTCCCAATAATTGACCTTTGCAGCATCATAGGCTTTGAGGGGGAAAAATAATCTTTCATTAAATAGTATAACCCATTACCAGTCATCCTTGTGGTTGTCTCAAGTGGCACTTCTGGATTTGAATGGCTTGGCTTCCACTGGGTCCAATCCTGGTTCTGTTTTGTGTGGTCAAAAACCCGTGGTGTGGTTGAAACTGTGATAACGTGATTGAAGCAATTAGAAAAATGTTATTCCTTGAGCCTTCACCACTTGTCTTGCACATAACCTTGCTTCGGTAGACTATGCAATGAATCATCTATACCCGGTTGTATAGATGGCTCCATGGAAGTGGAGGGAAAGCGAAGAGTGCCTTCAGCTTAATTCAGCCATATTGATAAGCATCTCAGTGTCCTTTGCATTCTGTCATAGAATACTTGGAGTTCAGAACATGAGATCTTCCAGATAAAGCAGAAAAGAAGCTGCTGCAGTAGGAAGGACAGCTTTGAAAACACCAGCCCTCCACCGAGGATAGCCAAAGGCGCCATTTTGCCCATCCATGCAGTCCGTAGTATCCCGCTGCACTTGAAAGCCCAGGGACTTAATCACTGTGTACTATTTGTAGATCCTCAGGGTGAAGAGGCAGATAACTGAAAGTTATACCATGATTATCACTTTATGTTATTTGTAATTTCGGTGGGGAAAGAAATGCCTGAGCAGCCAGAGCTTTCCTATAGATGATTCTGAGAGAGAATATCTACCTGGAATAGCCATATGGTTTGTTTCTGAATATTTATGAAACACCTATGATATTTTCATCAAATACAAAATATGTCATGAGCAAGCCATTCATAGCCAATGAAAGAAAATAAGACACCACAGGTAGCCAGCCACCATTATAGCAACACACTGGAAAGAAAGTGGCATACATCCACCAGCACCCTAATGTTGTCACCCAATCTGTTAGAGCTGGAATAGGAGATGCACCTAGCAGAAGGATCACAACAAAATCTGAATCAATGTGTTTTGTGAAAAGGTTGTTTGCAAATCCATCCTAATTGTTTCAAACTTTATTCTGACACCCAAATAACACAAAACTGTTTTCAGAACTATAATACCATCAGCTCTATTTTACAACTCATGAAAATCAAGTTTAGAATCATTAACCACATTCTCAATAAGCATGAAAAAGTACATATTATCAAGCAGTTATCACACCCCTCCAGTAGAAAGAGGGCATCGTGTTGAATTATGTCCATAGGTGCTAAGCAGAGAAGTAAACTGAAATCGGAAAACATGCCGTAGAGATTAAAAAAATAAAAATTTTAAAAAGTACCATGGGAAGTTTCTCCCTGAAGCCTGACATACAACTCATTTGCACATAGATCTGTTTGGGTTACCAGCCAAGGGAATTTAATTTCTCCAGTATCAAGACCACGTCTTTACTAATGGGCCCACCTGCAAAGTGGGGCCACATCCTGAACACAGGAGACAGTGTAATGTAAACCTCCAGTGTTTTCGATTATTTGGTTTCATTCTGAAATTACCAAAAAGAATTTTCTTATTCCATAGATTAAGCTCTGGAGGGGTGTCAGGTCTAAAAAAAAAATCACTTAAAAATTTAGACAGGAAATTCTAGTTCCTTTTGAGTATTTGTTATGTCAATGTACATACTCAGATGCCTTCAAGGCCTAAACTATTTTTTTCCTGGACCCTTTCGTCTCTGGATGCTGTCCAGGTGAGGATGAAATTCTCAGGTTTTTTTTTTTTTTTTTTTTTTT